CGGAGTAACCAAGTTTTTAGTATATAGGCTAAGTGATATTGATCAGCTAGTATCGATTGATGGGTGCTGCACTCAAACCTGGATTCTAACATTAAATTGCTAACCAATATTTTAACCCATTTTATAGAAATGTAAGGCATCATTAGACAGAGTAAATAAAATAAAATAAGGGTATTTAGGGTTAACAATAAATTCTTTACCGATATACCGATATAGTCTATTTTACCCAAATAAACTCAGATTGTACTTACTACACTGTGAACACCCGATGCCACCTCTCGTTTATTTGTGGTGTTCTAAACATTTTCGTTGTGCTTTTAGTTATTTCTGTTTGACATCCTACAGAAACTATACCAACAAGTATTTAAATCCATTAACTTGGATTCTAGAGATGAAACGGGGATAAATAAAACAAATGTAATTTCGATATACATAGATACATTTTCAACATTCAAGGGTTATATTCAATAAGTCTTGGTATAATTTCTTTTAAAAGTAAGATTATATTTCGAATTTCACCACTTAAACTATCGCATAAAAACATTACTAATAACAAATTACAAGTGTGCAGTTTATTTACAAGGGAATCGTTACATATTTGGGGCGTGTTGACGGGGAACCTGCGACCAACTGCAATCCCGCTTCCATCTTGCAAGGTATGACGTCTTTCGGGTCTGCAGGAAAAATCTACCTAGTCGTTCGGGTGGTACACACATTTTACTCCCCTCTCATTTCACACGTAACATTCCTTTCCATTCCTTTCACAAAAATTTGAACGCCATATGAACCTTGGAAGTGTTAAATTTAGCAGCGTATTTTATTTATTTGTAAGGTAATGTGATCAGTTTGAAATATTAACTGTAAAATGGGGTAGAAGATCCAATTGTTGGCTTAGAGAAGGGTCCTACATGTTCGTGTCCCAAGTCCATTTACTTTAAAGAAATGTCTAAAAGATGGCCAGATAAACTATAGGCATGACAGTCTCTAAACATCTTATAGAAATCCATCATTTTTTGGTTTTAAAGGAAATAGTCAGTGCTGTTGAAATAAATAATGGTATATTTGAAAGATTATTTAGAACACGGGTATATAAATTGTGTTGAAAATTGTGTTAGTTATAGATGAAGAGACTGTATTTACATGTTGGTAGCAAGGTGAGGTCATCTAGGTGTAAAGCGTGTGGGCATGTATATTAGGAACATTTTTCAGGTGTCAATATTGCCTATCTCAGTGATATACATCTAGAGTATTTCTACTTAAACTAACCATTGATCACTTAAAGTGCTTGACACATCCCTTAATAATATGATCAAGTAATGTCATATAGTAGTCTATTAGTTTAAGACTGGGGATGCTAAACTTTTGTAAACTAGACGTTTTTCTAGCATAAACATACACGTATAATACACACTTACACCACAGTTCACATAAAGTACACAAAAACTACATGTATGTGAACCCTAGTTGACCTGTAATTTGACTGATAGAGGTAGCAAAGATTTTTCATCACCCCTGTTATTGACATATTCAAAACATATCGATATATCGAATTTATGTAAATATGCGTCTTTTCATAATCACATCCACACGAGAAATAAAGCGCACAATAATATAATCGATCCATTGACTAACTTTGGAGTCATGCATGCATGTCGGTGCAATAAAATAGCCATTAAAATTATATATTTTAAAGAATATTATTGTTGCATATAATGCAAATATTACACAAGAGTACACAGCCACAAAAGCCCATGACGCAATCACCAAGTTTGAGTATCGTCTAAAAATATGTGTTTTTGCCGATCGAATTGTAATTTTAGTCGAGGTAGTAAATGTTTGAATTCTTGACACTTTAAGCACAATTGACATATAAGCCTTGGGAACGTGTTTTATAAATGTAAATTAAGACTGATTCTAACTAACGTCACTAATTCCGTGTTTCTTGTTATGGAGAGTAATTTTCCGTACTCAAGTTTGTTATAGCTGACTTTAGCCTGTGTGAACACTCTAGAAAATGGTGTTAATTTCAACAAACGATGGCATTATTGTTTGTGTAGTCTTCAACAAAGAGGGGTACGGAATCAGATTTGCATAAAATCGTAGTATTCTCCTGTAGGGTTTGGTTAGCCTCTTTCATCGAGTCGCTTCATTGTAAATCGCACTCGAAAGCATTCTGGCACGCGATTCGTGTGCCAATGTTAAAATTTTCATTTTGTCTTAAACGTTGGATATCAGAAGCCCATCTTTTCATGGTAAGATAATAACATCAATGTTGATTTAAATTGACCAATATGTCTTGTTTGCAATGTCGAAGACTGAGGATGATATTGAGTTAAAGACATGCCTCCTTTTTTTTAAAAACAAAACAATATTTATTCACAGAAACTGGATTGTAGAACAGGCAGAATCCTATACTTGCCTCCTTTAACTCCTACCCAAGAACACTGACCTCAAGCATGGTAACTAATCTGAGGTTTTTTTAATCGGCTAGATTACTATCTAAATAACAGTTTCAGCTCGCATTTTGAATACAGTTAAACATACATTATGCAAGAGCTAAATCTGATTATTGCAAGTCTTTATTTAGGCTTCAGATGTCATAGAAATTACAAATTAGATCTTTATTTACACAACAAGCACAAAATCAACTCTAGACCCACGGATGGGTTTGGATTCAGCTTGGATTTAAACGGGAATTCGTTGACTATTTTAATTTTAAATGGCGTCGTGAGCGGAGATTAACCGTTACGTTGACGTCATACTCCCGGATCGAGGCTCAATGATAGAGTGTACCACAGAGTAAAAATATTTTTACTCTGTGGAGTATACGAAGCGAGGCCGCTGTTGAGCGACGACTTAACAAATGACATCTAAACTGTTTAAAGTGCAATAAACTAAACACAGATAATGACAAATTATACAATTCCTGGAAACCGTGTGATGACTAATACAGACGGACAGGTTTTCTGTCTTAATAATATCAATAAAAATATTTTTATTTCCCCAATAGGCACGTCGCCACTGGTGACTGGTGTATACCTATAGATTTATCATAATTGTATTATAATATTATGTCCTATAATCAATTGATTTAATGCATTCCCAAAATACAAGTAAGAATGAAAATTTACCCTCTCACTCATTTTGTCCAATTGTTATAAAAATCCAAAAAGGTAAAACACAAATTCGGATATGACAGCAGACAAAAGACAGCAGAGATTATGTAGGTGGAGTTAACGCCTGTCAATCAAACGATCGGCAAACTAAGAATCGGTGAAGATGGAATTCAATCCCATTTCTAGTCAAAAATTTCACTGTTGATAACTATGTTCAGAATAAAGTAATTTGACTGAAATATCAATATATTCTTCTTTCATCATCTATTTTTGAACTGCTATAGCAAGAATGGCTAACTCCTTATAAAAATCTCCTATAATGTATCTTTACATTAGGAAACTGATTAGGCCTATTGGCCTCCTGGCAATAAGTCCTGTTGTTTGTGTTTATTACACCAATTATTGTTTAGAACGTGAATGTGGATCCAACTCAACTGACGTAAAATATCACTGCTTGCTTGTGTATTTGTGATTTCATCCATATTAAAGATGAAGGATTCGTAAGTATCTTAATGAACATGGACCTGTTCGACCAGAGGACAATCTATATACCTAATCTACATTTCTGGGGTGGGTTTTAAAAAAATACCAAAGGGGAAGAACTTATTTCGTAGTTTTTAAAGATTATAAGGCTATATAAATACCATCCACTGAAGAGTCAAAGGGTGAATTCCATTTCAGGCTACGATTGATTTTTAGATTGCTGACTCATAACATGAAACCACTAATAAAATATTAATTTATGTCCCAAATGACACCGTCAGTTTGGTTTAAATTGGTTTTAAAGGTTTTCAGGACACAGACCCCTGGGTTTCATTAAAGTCGTATGAGGTATAATCCCGCTAAGAGGGACAGGAGGTTCACAGTATGTGATCTACTCCATGTTGAAGTATTTATTTTACTTGTTTGTGCCAATTAGTTCAATCTAAACTTTTGTTTCAATAGGGAATTAGACATGCTTTATTTCACACAGTGAAGTTACGAAAGAACCTGCCTAGATATCAGGGTTATTTTGGGGGAAGGGAGGCCAAAAGACACAGCACAGGTTCTGATTCATCGATATTTAAGATGACTTGTCGATATTCACAGTTACGACTAAAAATATTCCCAATTCAAATGGCGCCATGCAATTTTGGAGTGTAACTGTACTGTTCTGGAGCCTATCTGGCAGTTAGTTATAACTCACATTAACTATAATCTGTGGTCTCTTGAGTTACATATTAGTACAATTGCTTCCTTTAACAGACCTGGCTTTGTTGCAATAACAATAATATTCTGTTGACATCCATTCCCACTTTGTTTTTCACGTGCCAGTGCTTAGATAATATATGTACTTTATTTAAAATAAACAGCATCGTTTATATTGGAATGAAAACATGCCCATCCACCCAATTTATTTGTAACACAGAAGAGTTTACAATGTTTCTTCGTGTTGATCATCATACCAGTCGTAGGTCGAACTCAGTAACTTGGGTGTTAGACAGAGGTTAGTAAACCGTCCTATATAAGCTAGTAATTTGCCAGGTGCACTTGATTTGACCCAGACTTTTTTCCCATGAATTAAGACGCGTGAAGGCGTGAAGCTTTCTTGGCGTGTTCAGCTTCAATTTCAATCGGGGTTATATTCAAAGACACTAGGCAACTTCACAACATCTTTGAAATCTAAGGGTCATCCGAACTCCTCATTTCCAACATGGCCGACATTTGAACGTAAATTGAGGTATTAAATTTCAAAGCAGCTGGAGAAACTTTGGCGGTTAAGAGAAGCAAATAATTTCATTTTCATGTAATAAACAACATAGACTACACAGATAAGTGTTATTCATTTTTACTACATGTATATAATATAATATAATAATAATAATAATATATATATATATATATACATATATATATATAAAATAGTCATACATAATAGTCCGAAAAACGGACGATTCGTTGGTTAATGTATAGTTTAAATTCATAATTTAACACGCCTTTGTTCAGCATAATTAATTATCGGGTGTACAAAATACAATACTAAATAAATATATATATATATATCACCCTACTTCTATTATATTATGGTTAACACTTTCAGTATTATAACCCATTTTTATTTTTATTTTTTTTTTACAAAAATCTCTTTAAAAATTATATAATTATTTTGAGCTTTTCATTTTAAAAAATGAATACTTTAATATAATCTTTGTAAAAATTCTACAAAATTTACAAAAAATGAACTGAGGGAATTATATATTGACTCTGGAATATGATACAAGTCTGTACAAAAATGAGGTGGGTATTATGCGTAATTTATTACCCACGATATATGAGAAAATATAATATTATACACGTTCTATAAATCCGCACTTGATTTGAGTTATCCATGTTTGCACAAGGAATCCATGAGGCACAGTTTGTTAGCTAGCTGCTTTTATGAACCACAGTTCAACGTTTGTTTAAAAAGTATCAAAGTCAATACACAAAAATACACTACATATTTTGTCTCGGCGCTGGATAATATTTTATCCTATACAGGAAATACAGTTCTTGATCGAATAAATAACTTTTTCGATTCAAAAGAAACTGCGTAAAAATACACAGGATATTCGTTTCGTCGGCCCTGTCAATACACTTTGAAGGAAGGGATATGACTAGGATTGTCGTATGTTTTGGTCCAATGCATAGCTAGTGAGTGATAGAAGGCTCGGAATTTGAACATGGCTCTTTGCCCGGTCGAGGCACAGTTTCTCCTTTAACTCCGTTTACACCGTTCGTCTGAGTCTAGGCGTAGATAGCACGGAGAAGAACTCCGTCTGTTCAACTCAGTCCATTCTTTCATGATAAGTTTGAACACATTTTGTCTGGGGGCGTGTTAACTACGTTGAAATAAGAGAGTTGAGGCTTGATTCTAGCCACCCATTTTCAAGTCCTAGTATTTCAGACACCTCCTGGTATGAATTATCCGGAAAGTCGAAATGAGATGCACTATTGGAATTACCTTGGAAGTCTATATTAAAGTCAGTATCGGCTAACTTGGCCAAGTCCATGTTACCTAATTCAAGTTGCCAATTGGAAGGCAGCTGTAGCACATCAGTAAGATTATCCAAGTCAGCTAACGAGGCGGAGTTATCCATTTGTTGATCTATCACTCTCTGTACTGTAGGCAGGACTTTCTGGGGCTCAACACGAGTTACCGCCACGGCCGAATCGTACATATCTTCACCATAGAAACTAGCTGACTCGGGGGTTGGGGGTCTGTACACCGAGGGACTGGAGGGAACCTTCGCTGGAGGGGTTAACTGGGTAGACACGGGTACCTGCTTACTTGCCCGGATACTGTCTTTAAACTTCTTGTCGATGGTGAGCTTGAGTTTAAGACGATTAGTATTAACAGAGCTTAAAGAAGATGTTGTAATGTGGTTGGATTCACACAGTTGTTGAGCACTTTTTACAAGTTTCTTACTTTTATCACTACGAACTTTAGCAGGTTTTGAGACCTTACCTCCTATCACTTTTTCGGCAGCCTTGCTCTTCTTCCTGGGTCGGTATTTGTAGTCGGGGTATTCCTGAAGATGAAGTAGTCGCAAACGCTCAGCTTCTTCAATGAACGGTTGTCTATCATCGTCGTTAAGAAGTTTCCACTGTCTTCCTAATCTTTTAGAGATTTCAGCGTTATGCATCTCTGGTGACACTTCGGAAATTTTTCGCCTTTCCATTTGAGACCAAACCATGAAGGCGTTCATTGGTCTTTTCACATGATTCGCTGCTTTCTTACAGTTTGTGGCATCGGAATACGGTGTCGCCGAGTTAGGGTTGACTTGTTGTGATCCAAACTGTGAGGCTGCTGAGTTCGCCGAGTTACAGGGTTTGGGATGAGTAGGACTAGATTCCACATTATTATTTCCATCATCCGAAATACTATTCTGTTGGGGAACCATTTTCATAGATTCATCAAAACAGCAACACCAGAAAAAACAAAAAAAAGCACTGTGTCACTTTCTGTCCAACATGCGCGATCAAACTTAATGTACTTCAAACGTCAAACTTTCAGCTGCCCCAACTAAGTTCTTCTATCCAGACGGGCTTGCAAGAAATACATTTATATGGACGCGTAGTCACGTGGTACCTTTAATGACGCATCAATTTTGACAGACAGCTATTTAAGCCACGCCTCCTCTAATACGAGTGGCTGAGAAATGTAAACAAGATAACCCCTGCGTTCATGAATCAATATTCGTGACTCCAACAGTACTATAGTAGACCACGTGGTTTGTTAGTAAACTAAGCCAGCTGATCATCTCTAATTTTACAAACGCACAGATGCTGTTTTAACATCGCAAACAAGATCCCTTCAACTGAAACATTGTTTTTCACATGACACTCCGAATCCAGCATACAGTGTCTGATTATATTAGCCATTGAGTAATACGCCACGATAAAATGATATCTTTCTCGTTCAGTCACTGGGTCAAATTTAGCTATTTTTATGTTTTTGGTTATCACGTGGTCACCATGCATGTATTTTCTGTTAGGTCTATACATTGATCGTGGTACATGACACACCGTGCAACTTGCATGTAATATGATTGGGTGTAAGAAATTTACAGCTATATTTATTGATTAAAACATGGTAAAATATTGATCGAATGTCGTGAGATTATAACAGGTTTATAACCATGAGGGTAGTTTTAGCGGATAGAATAAGTTTCAATATTAGGTTCCAGTACTAATCAACTAAGTGCTTAGCTCAAGTTACTTTCAAATCTGTATTCATCCACAAATAATGCATTGACACGATTGCAAACTAATAAAATATCATATGTAATTACCAATTTATTAATATTTAATTCCACGTTGACGGTTGTTCACATCTTAGACTAAAACAGTAGCTGACATCATTAAAGCTTCGGTTGACTACAATGACTCAGACCTGACAGTTCGAATTTAATCATAATATTACATACTAATGTAAATGACACACAGACTCAATCAAATATCTGGCCGTGTGAACACCCAAGCGTGAAATCATGGCCTAGAAATGATGTCAGAGTTGTTGAAAAACAAAAAGAGTCACGTGTCACCTTGGGCTCAGTGCCAAGCAAAAGTGGAATGGTGCGTGTGACAGATATGTTGCTCTCTGATTCGTTTCTTCTCTCATTTAATTAGATGATGGGAGAGACGTCTAAAGACGCCGATCACTGGAATGACTCATCCTCAATTACAGGTTAGCGCCAACAACTAATCAATATTACATGAATGATGTCTGATCATCCAGTATGTAACTAACAGTGTTGTATATGTGTGACTAAATGATCTAGTCTATAATTTATACGAAAGGCGTGGTCATTAAACAGATGCCCTTGATGATTTGTCTTTATTTAGGCCTATCTTTCTGTCACTCTATGTATCTTTTATATTTATGATGATCTATGACATATTGATATGCTGTAACAGCGCGTACATTGCATGTATATTACACATTATCAAAAAGGCAAAAAGAAGGCCGATTGCATTATAGTTTTTATAAAGATTTATATAACATATCGAAATTGAATAACCGTAAGTTCCATATGCATACGAATGATTTATATTTCTCTAAATTGGTAACATTTGTAATGTTTACGTAAAAGTTTCAAAAACTAGTTAAAAGTTGCAATTTAAGACGTTTGTTCTCCAAATTGAGACGGTTGTACAAACAAAAACCAGTATTTGTAATATCTGACTAATTAAGATGGCATCGAGTCATCAACCGAACTGCGTTTCTGGTTTAAAAGAATCAATTTGTTAAATATCAACTCAAATTTCTGAAAGGCTTCTTTCTCCACGGCCCAGCCATTTCTTGGCTTACCACTTGGTGTCCGATAGCCCTAGTTCTCAATTCCCACACTGATAACTCATTTAATATTGGTTGAATGATGAGTGAAAAATGTCACCCATAGTGACATTAACTGGATTCTGTGGAACAAAGACTTTGAGTAGCTGAACTAGAGTTTTCTGTGTGACTATAACATAAGGGAATTGATTAGTAATATTATTAAAGCCACAAATCAAACTAACTACCCACAGCATTAAACACAATCAAATCAGACTTCCTTGAATAAAAATAGAAAACGAAACAGTTTCACTGAAGCGTGATGATTTTCACTTAGTGAATAGTCGTTGCCTTCAAAATTCTAGTCTAACAGTTTATTATAAAAAAAAAAATGTCATTAAAATTTGTATGACCCCGCTCGAAATTCTGTGAACATTCATCACATATGTTGAATCAGTTATACTGAAAACATCATGTCTAAATGAAACAGCCGAGGAGGAAAATATAACTCCGCAAAATTTCATAGAAATTTGTATCAAGGCATTAAATTAGCTTTCGCTTCACTAGTAATATGAACGCGTTTTTAAAATACGGGTAGCACGCGACAATCTCATTTGCATAACAGAAGAGTCGCGAGCCATTGTCTGCGGCACGTGTCAAGTGAATATGACTGCGCTCGTTGTATCCCGCACCTTAGGCAAATAATTTCGTCGCATTTAATTTTATCGATTTTGTCACAGCGTTCCCATTAAAATTTGGAGTTTCAATCTAAAATCAAATACAATTAAATTCGCGTAAATATAATCGGTCTTCCCGAGTCGTTTTGACCTTGATTTTTTTCCCAAAACTTTAAATCGAGTTTGTTATCTGTAGATTTTTTTTCTAACGGGATTGTAATCTCGTAAAATTTAATTTGCAGACGTGTAAAATGAAACAGGATACGAAGGGAAAGTTTAGTTGTTTCTGAATTAATGTAGATTATATATCTATGTTTTATGTCTTAGAAGATAAGATAATATAGGATAAGAAGAGATTAATGTAGATTATTTTTATTGTCTAAATAGTTTAGCAGACATATTATAACATGTTAATATGTTACTGATAATAAATGTGTATTTATTCTATCAACACACAATAATGCTAATAAAACGAGGCTAATGAGATTTGCTGATTTGTCAAACTGATGTCTGTTAAATAAATGTTGGTTTTATTTTCTTATAACACCGTGCAATGAGTGCATGCGCTGTTTGCATCGTGCAATGACATCAACCTGTTCAGCAATGTATTTTTATGTTTAAAATAAGTTGACATTGTGTTTTTAAAATAAGATGAATATGACGTCTTATCATCGGTGATGTTCATAAAATGACTTGAAAATACGGACAATTACAAAATGAGTCTAGACAGTGATTTGTGTTGGTATAGCGTAGCGAAATATCAGTTAATGACACTGTCATACCAACAAGAGCAACATTCTCACGATTTCTGCTATTATTGTCATATAAACTCAATGGTGCCTCCTATCATCGTAAATAACAGCATCCCATTTAATAATTTCATTTTCTGTGATATCACTTTGGTGGAAGCGGACGTTAAATAAAGCTTTTTATCACCCAGTAACACATTCTACAGTAGATATCGCTTGTGTGATAACTTTCATAATCTATTGAGCGTTATCTCCTTATGAGATATCGCTTTACATGAATTTGATTGGTCAATTAGAAAGGAACTACCTTTTTATTCAAAAGTAACTACCTTTTTATTCAAAGGGAACTACTTTTTTTATTCAAAAGGAGCTACTTTTTGGATCCAGTAATATTGTTGGAGCAAAGGTCTCAATTACCATAAATAATTACAATACCCCACACAAACTTAAAAGAAACACCGGGTCAACATAAAAGACTTTGCAACGGGTGACTTGCTGTCAAAAAGTGATGTATCACTACGCCATAATGTAATCAGGTTCAGTAAAATCAAACCTATACCAAAGAATTACATCTACTTATTTGTGTGCATAAGAAAGTCTTGGGTGATAAATAAAATCTCCTACTCGTCTTTTTTGATGTCATAAAATACCACACCCACCTCTACCAGTCAATGACTAATGAATAATGGGGAGCAATGGGGATAGTATGTCGTAATGTCGCGTAAAAATGCCACATTGTCGGGTTAAAATGTCGTGATGTTGGGTTGTCGTGGTGTAATGTCGTAATGTCGCGTAAAAATGCCACATTGTCGGGTTAAAATGTCGTGATGTTGGGTTGTCGTGGTGTCGGGTTGTCGTGGTTGTCGTGGTGTCGGGTTGTCGTGGTGTCGGGTTATCGGCCATATTCTTCTCAATACTATGATAATGTTTCCCGGGATTTTGCAGCGCGGTTTCTCCATGTTGGTAGTGCAGGACAAAGGGCCTGGCAAAGAACAGTGTCTAGTCTATTATTGTAGATAGAGCAAAAAAAAACCCCAAAAAAACCCCAAAACCCTCCTGTGTACACATTGGCGTGCACATAAAAGAATCCTTCACAGTTGAAATTCGACGAAGAAATGCCACGGTCCATTAGAAATTTCCGTCATATCACTCTTCATAGCGTATGCCTATCTTCAAGAGTCCGATTGGTTCGGAAAAGTAGGAAATGAAATGAAATGAAATGAAATGAGGTTTAACGTTCAACTGTTTTGCTCCGTGAGCCACAGTGGCTAAGTAAGTAAGACGCTGGCTCGCTAGCCTGGACGTGGCGGGTTCGCCCCCGATGTTGGCCGAGAAAGTTCATCAGTATTTTCCGGCGTTGTTTCCCGTTGTCAGGGATGCAGGAAGGAGGGCCTGACAACTACAGCTGTCTAGTCGCTCGGATGGGACGAAAAATACATTGACAATTGGAATTCGATATAAGAGTAGGCCGTAGCGCCGCAGTCCGAGCAAAATGTCCCTCATAACACACTGAATGGTGTAAGCCCATCTTCATTAACCCAGTCGGAGCAGAACAGTAGGCCGTTAAACTCTATTTCATTTCATTTCGTTTTGTTCCGACTGGGCTAATGAGAGAGAGAGGGAGAGAGAGAGAGAGAGAGAAATGGGGTTTAACGTCCACTCAACACAAACTATGTCATTTCGGGACTAACACATGGTTCAATTTTATTTCAATAATTCGCTTGCGCGCAGAGGTTCTTTAGCAGTGGGAGGAAAACGGAGGACCCGGAGAAAAGCCATGAGGTTGGACTGGGCTAATGAAGACGGACATACCCTATACAGTGAACTATGAGGGAAACTTTACCCGGATAGCGGCTCTACGGCCTACTCTTATATTAACTTCCAACTGCCAGGGGGTCTTTTACGTGCACGCCAATATGTAAATGGGGCGTCGGTTTTCCGTCCCATCCGAACGAATATACGTTATTTCTTCCCCCCTCCCCCGTCCTGCACCAATGTCAAAGAGGAATCACTCCGGAAATGAAGTTTAATGTCCTACTTTTCTGGTAGTCACAGTACACTGTATAGCGTATGCCCGTCTTCATTAGCCCAGTCAGAGCAGGACAGTAGGACGTTAAACACAATTTCATTTAATTCAATTTTCCTACTTTCCGGCACCAATCGAGCTGTTGCAGATAGGCATACGCTATGAAGAGTGCTATGACGGAAATTTTCAATGAACCGTGGCATTTCT